TGAACGAAGCAGTGACACTGTGTGAGGTGTCATGGTGACATTGCATTGCTCCGGGCTGTAACTCTCAGTAGAAGACTGACTGACTGCAGACCAGGTGGCTAGCAGCTGAACTCAGAACTTTAATTTATCAAAGCACATAGCAACACAGCACAGCCGTGTATAGATGGGATCAGTAATACGGGAGCAAAATATAATTAAATGTTTGATCTACTGTTATAATAACTGTGTGTTTGTATGCCTTTGATTAATTTAAAACTGCAGGTGAGACTAACATGAAACTTAGAGGAAAATTCATACTCTAGACCTGATTTTGACTAAAAAAAAAAAAAAAAAATTAAAAAAAAGACAGTAGGCAGATAGAAACTCCCAACACAGCAGTCTAAATATTCCACCAATTCAAGCCCAGAAAGGATGGAGGAGGGAGAGCAGCCAGGTGAATGTGAGGACAGCAGAGAAAGAGATAAGATATTTAAAAAGATGTTAGAAGAAACATGAGAAACATGAGAAGGTGGTGGTGGAGGAAAAGATAAGAGAGAAGATTAAAGGATCAGAGGAAGAATGGTTGGCTGGACAGACGTCAGATGTGACAGCTGGTCTTTTCAGATAAGTGGCTGTCCAGTGGCCAGGAAAGACCTCTCTGATCCACTATTCTGATCTCATTCAAGTTCATTTACTGCAAAGAATTTTAATGGCGGAGAAAGGAAAAACTGTAACTGTCACCTGCTAATCTGTTCACACAATCTGTGAATGTACTACTGCAGGGCTGAAATAAACTAGAATTACCACCCCATGGTTGTATGCCTCTGTGCACCAGTCAAGTTTCTCTTACAGTTTACATCCATGTTTGTGAAAACATGGATGCTTCACATCCATTGTCCCCCCGACAGCACAGAGGATCTACAGTGCTGTGAAAAAGTATTTGCCCCCTTCCTGATTTCTTATATTTTCGCATATTTGTCACACTTAAATGTTTCAGATCATCAAACAAATTTAAATATTAGACAAAGATAACCCAAGTAAATACAAAATGCACTTTTTAATTGATGATTTCATTTATTAAGGGAAAAAAGCTGAAAAATATGAATATTGATTAAAAATATAAGAAACCATGAAGGGGGCAAATACTTTTTCACAGCACTGTATACAATCATCACTGTTTCAAGGTCAATCAATCAATCAATTTTTTTTATAAAGTCCAATATCACAAATCACAATTTGCCTCAGAGGGCTACAGCATCCCTTTGTCCTTAGGACCCTCGCATTGGACAAGGAAAAACTCCCCCAAAAAAACCTTTTAAAGGGGGAAGGTGGGCACCTAAGATTAGCGTCACTAATTAAGTATCCAGCCAAAGATTTCCCTTTTCTGTTCCTGAGATATAACATTGAAGTGTTTTATACGGAACATTATGATGCCACAGCGAAAATGTCCTTTGGCCTTTTGGATATAAAATGTCATCACTTCATTATTTTATCCTTTTAGACATTAGTGTAAAGTTATGTCATAATTAGCATATGAATTCTTGAGTTATGGCCAACAACATTTCGTGAGGTCACAGTGACCTTGACCTTTGACCTTCAACTACAAAATTCTAATCAGTTTATTCTTCAGTCCAAGTGGACATTTGTGTCCAGTTTGGAGAAATTCCCTCAAGGTGTTCTTGAGATATCATGTTCTCAAGAATGAGACAGATGCAAGGTCACACTGATCTTGACCTTATACCAGTTAAATACAATCAGTTCATTGTTGAGTCCAAGTGAACATTTGTGCCAAATTTGAAGAAATTCCCTCATAGTGTTCTTGAGATATCATGTTCACAAACAAGCGATATAGACGAAGTCACCTTGACCTTTGACCTACAATCACCAAAAACTAATCAGTTCATTGTTGAGTCGAAATGGATATTGGTGTCAAATTTGAAGAAATTCCCTTGAAGTGCTTTTGAAATGTCATGTTTATGGGGATGGGATGGACAGATGTACGTATGTACTATGTACTTCATGGCCACGGCCGTCAGTGCAGGGGCTTTAAAAAAAAACATATACCGTGAGAATTTTGAGACTGGGTTGGGAAACATTTTCACTCTATGAGAGAAGATACTTAATGATGATCATGATTTTACACTCATTGAAATATACCAGCCAAATCTCCAAAAGAAAATGTTGGCATTGTACATTTCTGCAAACCATGGATATGTTACATTTGTACATTTCATATGTATCACATCAATGTTTCCAAAGTTATGGCATGATACCTAGGCTAGATGCCTGCCAAACTCTTGCCAAGCATGTAGCACACATGTAGGTATAGTGTGATATACACGTTGCTAGGGCTGCTCGATTATGGAAAAAAACATAATCACGATTATTTTGGTCAATATTGAAATCACGATTATTTACACGATTATGTCTTTGAATTTGGAACAGCATTTATTGAACATGTTTGGAACAGCATTTATTGAACATGTTAAAAAACACTCTCCTGTTAAATATATAAAAATATCTTGTAATGTAGTAGCAGGGTCCGACGTTAAGGTTTTTTCCTACTTGCCCTGTCGGGCAAGTACTTCTCAAATCTACTTGCCCCATCTAAATTCTTACTTGCCCTGCTTAAGAGGTTCTTTTTCTGGCTGTGTGGTGCATATTTTCGCTCATAACTTATATCTTACGTCAGCAGAGATGATCAGCCAATGGAGGCAGCAGCACATAAAAAAGCAGCACACTGCAACTGGCCCCTCCGAGGACAGAAACAGGAGAGGAAATACACGATTACAGGCCTGGAATTAAGTCATTTTTAGGGCAAGGCCACTTTGGCCTTTGATAAATACAAATTTATTGGGGCATCACGGCCAAAATGTGGGGCACCAAGGCCAAAACAAATGGCGCAATAACAATATGTGCTAATTACATTGAATGAAGACAAAACAATATATGTGTTAAAAAACAGCACTGAGTTTATTAAAACTGGGTGTGCATGACTGGGGATATATCTAGTTTCTTGTTGTTTTGATTCATGTCCCTTATTTTTTAAGTCTTTGAAATCTCTTTATTCTTTTGTTATCTCCTAGTTACTAAGAAATTATTATTAGAAGAAGATTCCTTATTGTCCTTTCTCAGCACATAACATACATTGCAACGAAATTTGACCTCTGTATTTGACCCATCCTACTGTATACACTGGGAGCAGTGGGCAGCTGCAGTGCAGCATCCAGGGACCAACTCCAGTTCTTTTGCCAATGCCAGTGGTCAGGGTCACTGACAGGAGTATTCACCTAACATAGCCTACATATCTTTAATTATATAATTATTCATATGTCTGTATGTATATTTTTACATAAATTCCCAATATTTTATTTGCCTTTAAAAAAATCCTCTTCCTTCATTTAATTAGACAGTGTTTATTGTATTGTATTATATGTATTAATTCTCTACAGAATCTTGTATGTTCTTTAATGTGTGTTCAATTTATTAAAAGAAAAAACAAAAAAACGTTTTGGTGAATCCTGCAGCAAAGTGAGCTGTCTTCCTTAGAGATGATCTTTGCCTCCCAGTTTGTTCCTGGCGGCAGAGCAGAGTGAACCATCTTCCTTCTCAGAGGATCTTTGTCCCATCTCCGTGTACGCAGTGTAAACATCTTTCGCTGGTGATTTGACAGTCACTAGAAGCACATTATGACCCTTTGTAAAAGTTTCTGTGTGGTAACTGTGCTAACATGAGCTAACGTTAGCGGCTAAGGACTGAGAGGCTGTCCGGTAACATTATGTGTGTGTGCATGTGTCTCGGAGTGTCAGTAACGTTATGTTAACTTAGCCGTAGCCTTGCTATGCTGTTTGTCATAAAACACAGGGCATGCTACACTGGCCGTATGGGTAGGAGGGGCATTACGGCCACACACCGGGGACTCCACGGCACTGGCCGTTTGGCTGTGGTATAATTCCTGCCCTGCGATTAGAAATAATAAAAATAAAAAATCCGAGTTGGTGCTGCTTGCCCGATAGGGCATGTCTGCGCAGGGACTGCTGGCCCGCCGGATATTTTTACTTGCCTCGGGCATTCGGGCAACCGTTAATGTCGGACCCTAAACTGTTGTAGGCTACTGCACTCAATCTTTTGAAAACAAGAAATAAATAAAATACAATAAGAGACAGATACTTCAATAAATGAAGGGGTTCTACCTTTTTTATCAACCAAGCGACGCTGCTCAGCCTCACCCTCTGTCATCTTTACACGTGCTTAAATCGCCGGCCTGGATCTCCACTCTCCACACACATGGGGGCGGGGGCGTAGCGGTTGAGTTGCGCATGCGCGTCTCAGAACGGAAACACCAAATAATTGTTTTTCCTCGATTATATGAATTTTGAGATCGTCTGGAGCCAAAATCGTAATCACAATTAAAATTCGATTAATTGAGCAGCCCTACACGTTGCAGTTTGCAAGACAACACAGAACTGTAACCATGTATGTACACTCATGTAGCCTATGTCAAAGCACTAGAGGTGTGAATGTTTTTTCTGATGGTATCAACAAGATAATGTTAACATCTGCACACAAAAAGGAGAGTTAATGAAAAAACAGAGAAAAAGAAGGAATGGAAAGAGAGATATGCATTTATCAACCGGCAGTCCAGCACTGAACCTATGGACTTCTGCAGCAGCTGCTCCACTACAAACATCTGGATTCCACTGGCACTGCAGTTGCATCCTTTTTAAATGTATGACGCTTTTTTTCTTTTTTTTTTACATTATGGACAACTTGTTGAAATTTAATTATGTTTAATCATATTATTATTTTCTTGGCCTTGTTCTGAACCTCTGACATCATTGAAAATGAATGTGTAAACGTTTAAAATTAAGACTACCTTTGTTTTAGAGGGAAAACAGCTCTGTGACTTTTGCTGAACATCAGTATGTGATTATAGCCCTTGGTCTTTGGTGATGCTGGTACAGTTAATAAACTTCATTGGCTCCGTCAGCCCCTAAAAAGAGAGCAACTAATGGTCCTACCTGCTCTTGTTGGGGATGATGCCCTTCTCCAGTAGCTGCTTGTCCTTGCCAACACGAATTGCCAGCCAGTTGCCAAGCTTGCCGTCATACAGAGTGTCCACCACCTTAAAGATGTCCCCCCGGCTGAAGGCCAGGCTCTGAGGAGTCTCCTTCTCGTACTCAAAGTGGGTCCGGATGAAGAAGGAGTCTCCACGCCCCGACACCAAGATATCATTATAGACTAGACACACCAAAAAGTGAGAGAGAAAGAGAAATGAGTATTAAACCACTGACCATTAAACTCTGTTTGAAGCTACTTGAGGTTATCATTCTTTTCCAAGTTAAAGTGAAGGCTGATACCGCTGCAGTCTGCATTTATTGTAACATAATAATTCACACTTTATTCAGAGTCGACAGAAGCAAAATAAAACTCACAAAAGCCGTCTTGGTTCGTCTTTCCACTGTTCAAACAATTACCAACTGATTTTGTTAAAATAAACCCTCAATTCAATGAGTTTGAAAGCATGCTGGCTCTAAACACGCTTAAATTGCTGTTTATTTAAGTGGAGTCTGGTGTGTTTGGCAAAGGGGTTGTTTCTGCTTAAATCAAAAGGATCTTACTCTTTCACAGAAAGGTCAACCTCTGTAGGGATCATTTCTATAATGCTGTCAGTGACTTTTAGTAACAATGTGAGCCTGTCAGTGGCCAAAACAAGAATTTTGGTTTGACATAAATTGATGGCGCTCAATTGACCTCAGGGACTACATTGCATCTGGTTTGCTGCTGCTGGCTGCAGTCGTTTGCTCCATTCTGGACCAGTTTCAAAAACTGTTGTCTCCATTAATCACTTAGAGATGAAAACAAGGGAAAATATAGGGTCCAGGTTGAGAAATATAAAAGCTAGCCTTTAAAAACAAGTTAATTATTGGTCAATATGAAATAAAATACCATAACAATGACATTATGCTTATGCACACATTGCAAAAGGTACCCCATACAGTCCAGGTTGAAAAATCCTAAAGTTACCCTTTAAGGCCTCTAGTTTCCCAGCGCGGCACAGGGTGGCACAGGGTGGTGAACCCCGTGCAGAGCTAGTGTCCAGCAGCGCAACCCGAAGCGCGCTCAGTTTGGTAGTTTGGCAGACCAAGGTGTGCTGAGATGGGTGTGGCGGTGCAGCAGGGGGAGGTGTCGACAGATCCAGCTTGGCGCAGTGACAGTTTCGTGCCAAAAGGCTTCACTGAAGGTGTGCTAAAAGCTCGCCAGCTGAAACCAGGTCTACTGTCAGCGCAGGGGGAGCGCAGCCGGTGTAAGTGGAAGTTTGGCTGACCGGCGGACAGTGCGCACACGTCACCAAAACCTCATAGGCAGGTTTCCAGAATGTCAGGCACATTAACAATGCAATAAATACCCAAAAAAACACTATTCAATGCAGCTATCTGCAATCAGCACATAAATGTATCTCTGTATCGACTGTCCCGTCACATCTGATGTCAGATCAAAGGGGATTGGCACCGTTTGGCACGTTTGGCACGCGTAATGGAAACCCAACCTGATTTGATTAACACAGCTGCAAACCAATGAGTTCACATCCCTCTCAGCCAACCACAAACAGCCACAGCATCAGATAGGGAGTATATATTCAGCATCTGTCATCTTAGAAAAGTCAAAAGAAAAGAAACAGAGTGAGACTGCAAGAGAGAAAGAGAGAGCGTGTGTGCATGAGAGAAACGCAACATTCATTTACAATTGTGGTGACCTCCTCCCAGGCTACCTTTGCATCATCAGCCCGTGGAGTTTCTGCTTGCAGTTCCTTATATTCAGACACTGCGAGCTTGGACCTCCCGGACCAAAACATCAGTTTCCTCCTGGGAGAAGTTTGGCCGTCTGACGCTGCTGATCTCTTCTGCCATGGCGAATTGAGTAAACTCTCATTACGCCTTAGCGCGGCGCATTTAAGGGCGAGGAGAGGGGCTCATTTGATTGGTGTGATGTGAATCAGCTGTGTAAAACCCACTCCACGCCTTCTCTGCTCCCTCTTTCTGACTTGCGCAGGTAGGAGGGACGGAGGTGGGAAAGAGGAGTAGCTGCGCCAGCGCGCACGGTGTGCCAAACTTGCAAAATCCACCTGGCCACACCCAGTTGCCACCTCGCCTGGTCTGCGAAACTAGAGACCTAAGTGTTAAAACGATTGATGATGTGGGAACCAAATTTCTCACTGAGATGATCTGATCAGCTTTATTTTCTCTGGCATGTTTCATGTGGCATTTCCATTAAAGGTTCCCTGTGGAGCTTTTGACCTCTCGTCGTGCTATAGAGCTGTGAGTGGATCCTGGTTTCATTTATAGTGTACATACATGTGAGGATGCATATGCATACTGTGCGCACGTGGGTGATGTGATGCACACTCCCACCAATGGTTTCACACTATTTCACCAATATATAGGTGGTGGCAATATGTCAAGATATGCTGCAATATGCCAGGGAAGAAGAAGACTGCAAGCAAGCATGGATGCAAACAATGCTGGATTAAAAATACTTGTTTTATGATGAAGGAAATGGACTTAACATATTTGTTAGAGCTTGACACACAGTGAGTTTTGGTGAGTAAGACACAATGAAAATCTAAAGTTTATCCTGAACTAATCAACTCATTTATTGACAGAGCTGTTATTCTGATGTTTAATAATAATTGGCCCCATATCAACAGTGAATTGTAGTATTGTGTTGTTTTGTATGAGCTCTAATACAGCCCCTGAAGCCCAGGAGAGACAATGATCACAATCAGACCAGGTTTTGGTCTTAAATCAACACAGCGGTTACTATTTCCCGTATATACGATTACTTGTGATCATAAATCTGAAATACCACTCCTGGGGTCCTTGATTACAACTGAGCCATTTCCATTTGTTGAATAATGTCAATGTGTGCAGTTGAAATCTTAAAAGAACTAGTCAGTGGGGTAGTTTTAGGTTAGACTTTTTTGTTACATGCACTGTTTCAAAGGTCAGGAATGAACTCCTGTGCTCAAATTTCCAGTCTTATTTGTACAATCAAAACAAAATGTGCATATTTGTGTGACTGTTGCATGGAAATACACTTTACAGCTTGCTCCAGGCTCCTGCGAGGCTTCCTGATTTGATATGTGTGGTCCGACAAAGCGCTGACCCAAAAGGACCAACAGAGGCAACAGTCATACTGACTACAATCCACTGCTGCCAAACCTGGCTGACTGCACACTGTAGACTCAGCTGCAGCATATATTCAGTCTGCTTTCATCTCACACTGATAAAATACATAAAACAAAAGCCTACCCTTGCATAACCTTCCTCTAGTTAAGTACTCATCCAAAAACCTTCAAAGACTACCTGAATTATTTTAAGCAGTGGCTTTGAGTCCACAGGACATGTTTTTTTCTGTCCATTATGAATGTTTTAATGATCCTCTAAAAGCATTTTGGCAAGCAGTCTTTATTGAAACAGCAGCTTTGGCAAAAAATATTAGCCTGATCCATGTGTCATCATGGAGCAGGATTGGGTTGCACCAGGCATTTGTGAATCCATCACTAAGTCCTTAAAAACTGCTCAGTTACAAATTAATAAATTAACAAATCTGGTTGCACCATTTAACACAATAAAAGAAAAAATAGCTGAGCATTTTGGAAAATATGCTTGGCCATTTTCTTGCTGAGTTAGAGGAGACTCTTGACACCACTGGCATTAGCGTCCAGTAAATTTGAACCTTAGCTGAAAACTGGAAACAGGGAAAAAAAGCTAGCCTGACTCTGTCAAAAGATAACAAAATCCACAAACAAGCACCTCCACCACCCACTAATTAAGCTGTTATATCTCATTTGTTTAATCTGTACAAAAACCTAAGTACTAAAACAACATGTTGTGGTTTTACTGGAGATTATGTGTTAGACTATTTTTTAGCCAGGAACAGTGACTTCCAGAAGTCTTGTCAACCCCTATGAAGTTGCTGAACTCCATGGAGATTCCAGGGAGTGACCAGGCAAGAAAGAATCCATATGCTTCATATATGTTTGCAGCAAGGTACTTTTGTAAGTTGGTTTAGTTAGCAGTTGCCTGTTATCAGATGTAAATATGCATAACAACTTGTGGTGTTTCCCAAGGTCCTGCCCTGGGTTCTATTTTGTTTGCAGTGTACAGTATATCCTTGGGCAGAAAATTAGAACATTAAAATTATATTTTATCACTGCTATGCAGATGACATTCAATTGTATATCTCCTTTAACCCTCAAAACATTGCAAAATTTAATATCAGGCAAAAACTACTAGGTGTCAAGGGTCCTCTGATCAGAGCTTGTGGGTTGTTCCTTGTTTCAGGGCTGGAGGGATCAAAAACCAAAGGTTGTCACCCTAAACTGTGGAACTGTCACCAAGCTACCAGACTCCATTGAGAAACAGTAATTTAAGCTTGCTGAACATAGGAACTGCTGGGCTACCACTGACTTGATTGGTTAGTTAGTTTGTGTTATTGTGTGACTTTAATGAATCCAATCTAACCATTTTAAATGCCAAAGTCACACAATAATGCAAACGAAATTACTGATCTATGCAGCGTTAGACCAGCAGCCCCCATGTTCAGCAATGTTAAATAACTACTTTTCTCAGTGGAATCAGGTTTTGAAGAGAGTAATGTAACGGCTTTAGCTCCCCATCGGAAACTGCTGTCTGACAGCAAGGTAAGGTGGTGAAAAAAATTCTAAATGAAGCATACACTTAAACTGATATTGATTATTTTAGGTGGTACTTGTTTTTAGGTGTCTAAAATAGGTTTTGTTGCTGACCCATGCACAGCAGAACATTGCTTAGCTGCTGTGTCAGACTCCAGCCTGCTTCTCCAAACTGGGGGCGTGTTGACTAACATCTACTGTATGTAATACACTGACTATGGATAAGTACCCCATACAACCCCACTTCAAAAGATCTAAACTACCCCTTTAAGAAATACCATTAAAACTGAAACAAGTTTCAGCTTATGCAAATGTACAAATACACATATATTTGTGTTACTGTGCTTATGAGGACCTTGTATAGATTGTATTTGTCCAGAAATATAAATCTAACCACATCATCCAAAATTCCTTCCTATCCGAAATGACCCTTACAGTCACCACCCTGACCTTTCTTATCTCATCCACTACCAGACTATTTTCATGTGAGGACTTGCCAGCTCACTCTGATGACCTTAAATGTCCTCTCAACAGAGCTGGGCATTGAAGAGTCGCACAGTTTTCCTATCAGGTCAATGCTCTGCTTCATTGTGTGATGTGTTTTTGTTTTAGAAATAGATTTGTCCAATAAAAAGGCCAAAGCCCCCCTTTTTTCAGATCCACAAGCTCAAGGGGCCAATGTGCCGATTATGTAACACAGTTGGAGGCATGTGCCCATGTGTGTCACGGTTGGCTGAACCAAAACTAGCCTGATCTGGTCTAAAAGCCTTGGGGGACCAAGCTGGTATCTCCATCATTAAATGGAAACAACAGAGAGAGAGAGAGAGAGAGAGAAGAGAGACTATAGTCCTGAGGTGTGAGTGTGACAGCTGGCAGTGCATTATGGGACAGTACACTGTGTTCTGGGATATTCCACAGGTTGCTGACATGCCTACAACAAAGTCAGTTAAAACTGCTTAGATTAACACCTTCCATTATTTTGGTATTCAAAGAGCTACAATACTACAATACTTTCTCATTTCCCTGCCTGTGTGTGGTTCTCAGCTCCAAGCCCAGTGGCTCCTACTGCAGATGGAAATCTTTAAACGAATGAAATAAGGCTCAATCATTTTTTTAAACAGCTGGTCATAGATTTTAACAAATGTAACTCAAACAAGAGAAAACAGTGCATTTGTTGGGGACTATTTTCAGCAGCAGATTAATCCACATTTGGTGCTCTAGTGAGTATTTGGGGCAGCAGGACAGTGTATGTGTGTGTGTGTGTGTGTGTGTGTGTGTGTGTGTGTGTAGCAGAACGGTTAAAATTGTAAAAAATGTAAAGTTTGTCCTGAGGGTGATACTAGACAAAACCTATAAGCCAAAAGGACTTACTTACTTACTTACTTGGAAACATGAATATGCTCAGTAGACTTCCTGGCAATCTATAAAATTATTAAATTAAGAGATATCTTGAAAGTTATGTGAACATTTTGGCCTGAAGGGTATAAGAAAAAAAGAAAGGTTCATCTTCTGAGGAGCATGAATGTGCTCATAAAATGTCAAGCTAACCTGCCTGATCTGATAGACTGTGAAATGTCTTGTCTAAAAATGGAACCTTTGGCTTTATGATGGTACTGGATGCCGGACGGCTCCTTTTATAGACAGAGAAAAATTGTGTTATTGGTTAAAGGATGAACTGTGTTCTTGATGTCTATTTTATTAATGTGAGAAATGTAACTGACTATGTTTCTGTGGAGGGAATGTTTACCATCAGGTTTGCTCTGTGCCAGGATGGTGACCACTTCCCCTTTAGGAATCTCCAACAGGAAGAGCACTGCTTCTTCTCTCACTACACCTTGAAAATCCACATTGTTCACCTTTAACATGCAAACAAAGGGTACAATAATTAGGACTGTTTGCTATTCAGGTGATAACACTCATTTTTCTTCTGTAAACTCACATTCACAACATCATTTTAACTGTGGCTTGTCTGAGCTTATTATTGTTTATGAAATCTAAATAAGTTCTGTCTTAAGTGGTTTACCTTTAGGATTTGATCTCCGATGCGCAGGCCCTCCTCTTCAGCAGGACTGCCCTCTTGAACACTAGCAATGAAGATGCCAACATCATTACCTCCTGCCAGCCTCAGCCCCACGCTGTCTCCCTTCTGGAAATTCACCATCACTGTGTTCGGTCTACAGGAGGGGACACACATGCTGCCATTAACAATATGTGCCTGGTTTTATTAACATTGTCCCAAAACAGTGCCATACTGTCAAATATCAAATTGTAAATGGAAATAAAATATTCTTTGACTAAAGTGGTCCTGACTGAAGTGTGATTTCAGCCTTGTGCACCTGTTTGATGGGGCAGAATGTATCACGTCTGTGTCTGAAAAATTGCTGCAGTGGCCTCAGTGTATATCTTCATATATTTCTGGCTGTGTTGATTTGCTGTATCTCCCATCCAAATTTTCATTTTTCCCTTGTAAATATGGTCAGCATCAACAGGTAGCATACTGACAGGACCAACACCAACATATCAACTACCAGGCTGTAAATAAGATGTAAAATGCACGCCAGTTTTTCTATGCTTTTGTGTCAATCTGACTAATGGGAATAACAATTTTTGAAACTGGTTCAGTATTCAGAGAAAGCGCTGCAGCTGGTAGTGGCAAAACAGGCTGCAATGTAACCACTTAAAGCATGTTTTCCCTGTCAATTCACATCCACTAAAAGTGATTGTTTTTGCCTGATAGGCTCAGGTTGTTACTTAAAGTGTCTGGCAACATTATGGAAAGGATCCCTACAGGGACAGACCTGTTTGTTGAAGAGTAAAATCCTTTTTGTTTAACCAGAAACAGCCCTGAATTTGCCCTTTAAATAAGCAGTAATTTTAGCGTGAATAGGGCCAGCATATTTTCACATCTAACTGGGTGAATTAAGGACTAATTTCAACCAAACCAGGTGGTGGTTGTTGGAACAGCGGAAAGACAAAGTAGGATGATGTTTGTAAGTTTTACTTCCTTTTGTTGACTCTGAATGAAGTGTGTTTTATGATGATAAAATTAGTGTTTATTTAAATGAAATCTGGTGGGATTGGCAATCGTGATTTCTGACTGTTTAGGATTAAATAAAATGGAGATTACTCCTTGACAAAAAGCTGTGTGTAGAAATACGTTCCATAAGATGTCAGACACCTCAAACAGTAATCTAAACACATCAGTTGTGAAAACAAGCACTTTTAGTGGACGTACACTGACAGTTTAAACACGCCCCAAGTGGATACATTACAGTCTCTTTCTCCTCCATACTGGACTAATTTCAAAAACTATTTTCCCCATTAGTCATGTACATATTTACTGTCAGTATACCTGTTGCTATATATTCCTCAATGCAATTCTTTGCCTTTGACAAATGTTAAAATGGCAGTATGCAACACATGAAAACATAATTATTTCGGCTTTGTTTTTGAGAAACCATGGCTCTAACACTACAGAACCCATTAGCAAAGTTTGCCATGGAGAAGAAGCCAGCTGGAGGCATGACTCAGAGCTTTGCAACGCTGTATCATTGCAGTTGAGAACAAAACACCCACAACTGACCCAGAATTTGAAAGTGAGCTGATTTTATCTGCAGTCTGTTTTGAGTTTTCTCAACACTGCCATCTTTATTGTTGGTGGATTTATAGGTAACTTCTCCTGCTCTTCATTTACCTTTAACCTTTAAAAAACATGGATCGACTTCCCTACAGTACCTTGGTGGCCTTCTCTCCTCCAGTGCTGACACAGAGAAAATACATCGTTAAATCAGCTGCATCAGCGTTAGAGAACTGAGAACATGCAAGTGGAAACAACACTGTTCATTTACAAGACAGTAATTCATCCCACTCTGCTGTATGGACCAGATACCTGGTCTGTATTGCTAGTTCAGCCAGCAGAGTTTCATGTCACATAACAATGTCTATGGGGAAAATAAAATAAAAAGATTTTTACTTTTTAATTAAAATACTGGAGCTCATTCCAACTCTACTGTTTTCTGTTGTTTCCAATTAGCAGTAGTGGAAAATAACAAAGTATGTTTACAAGGACTGTACTTAACTATAATATTGAGGTATTACTTCATTTGAGTATGTCATTTTCCTGACACCACACAAGCAGTCACCTCAGTCCTCTCAGGGAGACTTCCCACTCACTGGGTTTGGTTCCTTTATAATGTCTGCCAGCATCCACACACCACCTTTCCCACACAGCACACTGAATTACTAACATCACTGACCTCACTGACACCCATTTATCATCTTCTTTTAAAAATTGAATTCATGTTGAAAATGAGTCCATTCATTTCAGTGCATTAATATACAAGTAAAAAAGCACTAAAGCAGCCATCTTCTGCATACTGAGTACTTTTAGTACAAATTTTTGATATGTTTGTAGTTTCACTAGCCAGAGTATTTTATAGTATATTTATCCTCTTTGGATCAGTAAAGACTTTGTATACTTCTTTCACCATTAATTGTTAGTAAGCGAAAGTAAAGTACATGAGTTCCTGTGTACAAACAGCTTGTTCTCATTCTCAGGTTGTCAATTACGGACACTTTGTCATTCAGTACAGCATGTGATATCAACAGCAAAGGGAGCGTTCAGTGGTTTAATGAGACACACCAGGCTTTCAACTAACTTGGATGGGTCAGACAAAACTGGACTTTCACCACGAAGGCCAGAGTTTGTGTCTCATTTGAAATCAAAAGCCAAGGTTATTAAATATAATTAACATACCTACGTCCCGTGTGAAACCAAATTTTACCATTGTTTTAATTAAACGTTACATAATTTATGTACGGTTGTCGTCTCACAGACGTCACCCACTGATATAAATGAATCATGTTACATAACAAAGATACTTATTTTAACCAAAAACATAATCTTTTTCTCTAAACCTAACTGTTGTTGCCTGAACCTAACAGTGACTTTTTCATCGCATCAACTACACGTTACAAAGCAATAAAACTGTGCGTCACATAGACACACAAAAGGCTGCCCTGAGGCACTAAGGGGCATGACAAAGTGTCCGTATTTGACGCCATGGAAATGACAACAGGTTGATGCTAATTGCCAAAACAGTATCATATGGCAATTACTACAGTACACACTATATAGTTAGTGTCACAGAGCAGGGTGAACAGAGCTGCTGCTCATAGTTGTAATGATTTGACCTTTACACTGTGGAAAGAAGTGACATCATTATATGCTGCTGTGGAGTCTTGCAGGTCTTTATGTGTCATGTCATGATGTCAACCAGAGTCTAAAATACACCTGACTATATACACTTTTTTATACATCCCCATCACCAACAGTAAGTCAAGTTGAAGACAGTTCCTGCAGCGGTGCTGTTCTAAATGCCAAGAGCAGAGCTCAAGCCATAACATAATCATTTCCAATGTATTCAGTGCCCAGAGACATGAAGCATACTGTACATTCCTTGAGTTGGCACAATTAGTACGGGTTGAGGTGGATTCATGTACTGAGGATGTGAAGGCCTCAGAATAATTCTGGTCTGATGTACAAACCCTTTCACATGATTATGAATAAAACATAATTAAGGGGGGGAAACAAGACAAGAAAAAGTGAGATGAGAAAAAGACAAAGTCACCCGTATATTTTCTCATCTTCTGGACTTGGTCGGAGGAGAATCTTGGGCGTGGCTGTTACAGCAGCTGTTGATAAGAACATCAGAAGAGTGTTGTTAATATCTTCTATGCTTACACCAACATGTTTGTCAGTTAAAGTAAATGTGTAATGAAGCTTTGGAAATGACCAAACGATTTAAAGGCAGCCTTTTACTGGAGAAAAATGATGCAGAATGGACTGTCAGAGTTTAGAGAGCAGCTGATTCAGATTTTCTTTGAGATAGTGACATAAGCTCCGTTTCCACCAGGCAGTCCGGTACGGTTCAGTTTAGTTTGGTACACATTATTTTCATTTCCACTGTGAAAAGTTGTGGATGGTATCAATGGAACCGTTCCTTACGTCCCCATTTGGTAACCCCTCTGTTGGAGTACCAAACACACAGATTTGGTGCTAAAAGGTGGAGCTGTGAACACTGCAGTCCACTGGTCGATGTAGCTCCAAATCTATGCTGAGATTTGGTTTCAAAGCTGCACTAATCAATATCTTTTATGTTGGCAGTGGATCAAAGGACTTAGTTTGATGTGAAAGGTTTTGCTTGTAGTAACAACACCTACTAGGAGAGACACCTACCAAGCTGCAGACCACTGTTCAAGACTAACAAACAACAAAACTGGTTGTGTTTTAGCAATCCATTTGTTTTTGCAGGGGGAAAGTGCCACGAATTATTCTCTGTTAATGTAAGGACTGTGACCCTGCCATGGTAGACGGAGGTGGATGGTGTTGTGAGTGATAACCTGGAGGCTCCTCAGTGTGCGGTGTGTCTTTGTTCAGCTCGGCTGAGGCCTGGGGATCTTCGGGAACTCTGAACGGGGAGGCCATCGCTGACATCTCAGCTGTCCTCATGGGCTCTTCCCTGTTACACACAACCACATGCGCACACACAAACAGGATGAGAGACTTTAAAGGGACTACAAGATGTAACAGCAACTGATTAAAGCCTGAGTAAGTTAACTTAGCTCATGTACTGCAGGAGGTGGACAGGAATACAGTAAAAGCTCACATACATTTCAAGAAGGCAATAGGTACTAACAAGATACCTTATTAGCTAACTTCAATTAGTGCTCATCAGAGCATTTTGACATCTTTGGAAAAGTCAAATGTGAGTCTCAAGTCAATCAAGAAAAATCTATGTCAAGTCTTGGGTCAATTTCGCAGTCCTTGAGGACATATTTCTAGTTAGGTCACACATCTACATAACCAAACTGGAAGTCAGTTGGTTCAGGTATTGCCTTTTCTGGATTTTAACTTATTAGTCAAAACTTTCACCCAACCTACCTGGGGTTGTCTCTTTCATTAGAAGAGTGGGAGGACAGGTCAGACTGGCGGGACCTCCTCTCTTCTGGGGGAGAATAGGAATGGTATGACTCCATCTCTGATATGTCTGATAGACAGACAAACAGACAAACATCTCAGTTAGACACAGAGACTTCTTTCAAGTTAAATCCCCCACCAGCAGCAGCAGCAGCAGCAGCAGTAGAAAAAGGCTGCCTCAAGAAGCCCCAACACCAGCTAATTATCGCCTTGGACAGGATGAGGACATTATTAGAGATGTTTTTGTCAACATGATGAGAACAAACTCTGGTGCCACAGCTCAATACTCAGGATAAAAGCAGCTGTTTCTCCATCCAAATTCATAGTCCAGAAATACTTTGTGTAAAAACAGCATTATTGTTCAAATTTGTGTAAAAACACTGAATGTTTTTATATTATTTTCTGACCTTCCAGTGTATATATATATGATGATTAGCAATGGGTGCAATACACTGTAGTGAAGATCCTGGTTGGTTTGGCAACACCATGTTGTTGGTTATGTGTGTTTTAATATTTAGGGCCCACAGGTCTGTGCTCATGCTTTATGATACTGAACATGTAGAAGCACGAGGAAGTATTAAAAATTTTTCTTGACACTTAGAACATATTAAGGCCCTGACATACCAAGCCAACAGTTGGCCATCAGTCAATGTTGGGCAGTGGTTGAGTGTCTATCACCTTAGTTGGTGCTGTGTGTTCCAAACTGTTGCCCCACATCGGCCCATGTGGGGTAGGTAAAGGCAAGGTAAGAATATTTTTCTTAAGCCATTAAACTCTTTTGCAGAAATGTTTCCCGATGGTTTCTGATGCTGTTCACTGGCGCACGGTAAATATGCTCTGTTCTTTTAACATGGGATTGTGTTGTTAATGTGCTAAATGGCTAACTAGCACCAAGATTTCTCTTTTTGAATGATGAATACAGGCCAACACTGTCTGCTGGTGTGGAGAGTTATTTCCTCTCATGGGGGCACAGAGCATACATTGTTGGCTGGTTGGCTATCCACTGTAGTCTTTGCAGTGTGTTCATGTGACACTTTTTGGCCGAGACACAGGCCACGTGAGGCAATGCAGCAGTTGGCTTTCATTGCCACTAGTTCTTAGAAGTCGGTTTGGTGTGTCTTGGGCTTCAGAGGGATGATGTCCCATCTGGCCTGGAAACACCTTGCTACACCCAAAAGTTCCTGGAGGATGCAGCTGGGAAGAAGGACATCTGAACTAGCTTGCTGCCGTTGCCAGTTCACATTCAAATAAAAGATGAAAGAAAGATGGATGGATACAAATATACTGAATGTTATTGAAAACCTGCTGGCCATGAGTACTATCAAAAAAGAGGTTTGATATAATGTATATCTTAAAGATTGTAACTTAAAGAGATACAGTAAGACTAATTCATGTTCGAACACTTTCAAGAAATGCTTTCTAAAGATCAATGAGGCAACCGCTGCAATGCCAGTATGAGGGTAGGTCTGACCTCAAGGGAGTATCTCTACTGCTTTGGAACCCAAAAGCAAGCTGGTCCAAAGTGCTTACACACAGTCCGGCTCTCCACAGAGAGCGCCTGGCTTTCATTTGGTCCCTATGATTTTTTTTTTTCTTTTCATTTGAAGTGAACATGGGTGGGAGGCTCTTTGATTTTGCTGCTTTTATCCATCAGAGTGTGACACGCAGCACACTGCTCTGAGGGGAGAGAGGTAGGGAGGCTGACAACAGAAGCTTTAACAGGAGCCAGTACACCAAGAAACCAGAAACAGAAGCAACATTTGAGGACTCAGGTGTGAGAGGACAAGCCAGGGAACCACATAAAAGAGAACAAATAAAAGAGTGCCAACAAATCTGTTCCCCGAAGACAACACGCCGTCATAAACCAGCAGACAATAAGAGATCGTCGCTTGGAAAGGGGGAAGGACAGGGGGGCAGGGTCAGCTGGGGGTCTGGCACAGCCATGTTTCACATGGTGACATATAGTGCATATTAATTAGTTGGATTAGGGTTAGAGAGACATTCTGCATGCAGGGCTGTAACCAGAAAAAGCACCAATGAGACATTGAAATGAAAGAAAGAGAGACAATGTAAGACAGAAGGTGAGAGAGACAGAGACAGAGAAATGTGAAGATAACATGTCAAACCTGATATGGGCAAGTGTCAGCCAAACAACATCCATCATTCAGATATATGTCAATACCAAACTGAGACTGTGTGATGGTGTAAAAGACTCCATCACAAAGACCCACATTTTTTTTCCATCTGCCCTCTAGAGGCAGGACATGAGGATGGCGATATGGGTCGGTCTATCTCATCTGTGCATCCATCACACACTCCAGAGCAAGAATATCTTCACAACAGCAGGACAGATTGGATATTCCTGGTCCCCACAGAATCTGTTGGTTTGTTTTTGGCGACCTCTTAACCTTTCCCCTAGCGCCACCATCAGCACAACATTTCTACCAATTTCAGTCTCTACTGTGGAAATATTTGAAATGTAACAAGTAGCTGAACAAACAGGGCTAAAGACAGATGCCCATATACCACTGTCTCTTAGCCGAGCAATGGACCTCTGGTGGTCCTTGGTGGTGATGCAAGAGGTTTGTGGAAGATGTTTGAAATAATATGTTGGTGGCTTGAAGGCTTTTAATATGCAGCAGATATCAATGAGCCTGATTAACCGGATGGTATTTTTGACAGGGCTTCAGATATGCCTGTCGTACTGAACCCTCCAGGACAAAAGGTCCAGCACCCCAAAAAGTCAAGAGCCACTTTTCTACATCATACCTAAAATTTCAGCTATGAGAGAAATCTATTTTCTATTACTTAAGCACACATATTACCTTTTGCTTACAACCGTATTTTATGTGTTTTTTCAACATGTTTCCCTTCTGAGTACATTTATGTTACTCAGAGGATGAACCTTTTAATTTTAATGACTCCATGACCTTTCCTCTAGTAGCACCCCCAGGTAGCAACACAACTGTGAGGCTTAAGAGAAGTTAAATCCTCTTCCACCTAACACTTTCATAATGTGGGGTGAAATTATCATTGCAGCTGCTGGTGGAACTTTACATGTTTAATCTTGTTTTTGTATTAATCCATGGCAGGAGCAGCAGAAACAGACAACTTATTGGTGCTTGTAGGGATTCATGTCCATTTTACATAGATTCACTACTGGGTGACTGTTTACGTGTTAGTCAGTGTTGCAGTGAGTGGAAGGGTGGAGTGCATCTGTGTATTTTCAGGTTGAACATGCCCTCTTCAGCTCCTGCTAGACATCCTGACTCCAGCTACAGACATTACTCAACGTTAAAGCTACTTAACTAAGCTGGTTTTGGATTGTATGCTTACCCTGTGGTGTTGCTGTATTAGATTGTATTGTATATTGTGCCCAAATAATTGAGAGAAAGAGCTCGGTCAACAGTATTTGGACAAAGTAGGTAGACAAAACGTATGACGAAGATCCACTGACTTTGCTATGAACAGTTTTCATTGAAACACCTTTCTCTAGTAGGAAGGTATTTCAGTGAAAACTAGACCAGACTGAAACCACATGTTGTGGTTGACCTCCTCAAATATTTTTGGTCAGAAGCATATAGCAGCTAATCCTACCTAAGTTAGCAAACAAAATGAGTCAGTTCACTGTTTTTGACTTCTCTCTTTGTACTTATAGTGATGAAGTTGTCTTTCTGTAGAATTGTTTATTACAAGCAAGCATATAACTCAACAAATATGAAGGACAGTGTTTTTATGTGGGTTTAAATAACTCTCTGTCAGTTTTTGCAGCCTTTAAGATTTTAAGATTTGTTCTCTTAAGGAAATACTACTGGACAACTTCTAGACACTGGACATAACTAACATTACAGTTCATAACTATAATACCATTTTGTTGTTGTTAAACACTTTAGTAAGTGCTGTGTTTACAGGGAAACTTTGGAATTTTTTAACTTGGACCATATCCTTTATGCCTTTGTGGCTAATTGGAACAACAATTTTTGAAATTGGTCCAGTATTAACAGAGAGTGCTGCAGCCAGTAGCTGTGAGACAGGCCACAATTTACAACCAATATAAGTACTTGTTTTTGCCACATACAGGCTCAGATTGTTATTATAAGTGTCTGACAACATTATGGAAAAGATCCCTTTGAAGAAATTAAAGGTTTCCTTTAATTTCTTCAAATATTCAGCCATGACAGCAAAAATCTTTTATAACACACCAAGCTATGCTCTCTGTGCTCCACCACAACTAATCCTTTCCAGCACTTCTCTCTCCGACTCTCACCCGTAGGTCTGCTGTTGTATTTATGCAACAAGTCACATCTCGCTTGATTTCAGAATGAGACTTCTCGTTACCGGGACTTGGTTAAACACAATAGCAAAACAGATCAAGCGAAAGGTAAAGAAACAGGCTGTTTCACATATGTTTCATATAGGTTTTCCTACAAAAAGCTGTGCACCCAAAATCATTGAATACCATGTTTTTTGAAAGGCTATGATCATGTGACTAATGCACTGACAGCAGTAAACAAGGAAGAGCTCATAAGGAGGCAGGTTGGGGTGGTGGACGTGTCACAAAAAAAAAAAGATTTTCACCCAGGACTTTCCCCTGGAGTTGCGTATTTGGATCTGTATGAACTTAGAATCAATTTAGGGTATGTCCTCACCATCTTTTCCTAAACCTAACCACAGTAACTTTACTTGCCTAAAACTAACTGTTACTTTGCGTTAATTATGTAAAGAAAAACTTTTCATGTCTCTGTAGGGATCCTTTCCATAATGTTGTTGGACACTTATAATAACAATCTGAGCCTATCAGTGGCAAAAACAAACACTTTGAGTGAACGTAAATTGATGTTGCACTAATGCCCCAAGTGGTTACAGTGTAGCCTGTTGAGCGGCTGCTGACTGCAGCAGTCTCCCTCAATACTGGACCAAATTCAAAAATTGTTGTCTCCATTAGTCACTTGACACAAACATGGCAAAAGAATGGTCCAGATTGTAAAATACCAAAGTTTGTATTTAATATGTGCTATATCACAGAACATTATTCTTATTTTCCCTATACTGTGGGTAGATGCAAATTACAACAATCTGTCCTTGAAACTTTCAGGGAAATTGTTAAGAAAACATAGAAATGTTAACTTAAAATCTAACTGCTCCTGAACAATTTTTATGTTAGGTGAGAATTACTGTTTCTGTTTTGACCCTTCTTTGTGCTTAGCATTAGCTGTACACACTCGCTCCACACAGATGCTTACAAGCCCAGCCAGCAGACTGCACAGACTATCTCCAGGCTCCAGGCTGGGGCCATCAGTGAATTATGGCGAGCCTGACAGTGCAGCAAGAGGTGTGCATGTGGAATGAGAGTTTGCGTGAAGTGGAAATGCAGCAAGAGACAACAGGGAGGTGATGAGAGTTCAGATATACCACCTGGACAGACAACGGCAAGTTGCTACACTGTTAGGACAGATCATTAATATGTTATTACACTGAAGACTCAACAACATCTTACCCACTTTATGAGCCACGCTTTGTCATGCAACATTCTGTATTCACAAAAATAAATCATCACCCTGCAACATCATGATTCAATATTCAGGCAATACTGTAAAATGAAGCACATTCATCTGATGGCAGCTTACTGACTTCTTCCACTGGCATTATTCAACTTCTATACTTAATGAATCACACAATTCAAAGTACATGATGTGATTTAATTGTGTTTATTTATTCAGGAAAATGAATCATGTATTAAAAAGTTAAAGATTTAGAGCAGTATAAAGAGAAGTGCAAAAGGTGTGAAAGCTTTACAACTTAGTCAGGTTGGGTCACAGCCGTTTTACAGCTTAGAGAAAGGCAACAGAGTGTTACACATGCTGTGTCTTGGGTGGTCCTTCATCTAAAAGTATGACATATTATCTGGAAGAGAAAACACAGAGAAAGATTGCACTTTTGAGCGATTACAGGGATCGCTTCTGCTTGTCAAGATGAGCACTTTTAAATCAATATGATCAGTTCAATTTCCAATTGGGCTGGAGGTTTTTCCTAAGAACCTCTCAGCCAGCAGTAGGGTCCTGATTACATCCTGACCTGCCAGTGACCTCTCTCTTTTTTTACAGTCATACACAGAAGCTGAGCAGCTGCAAGCAGAAACTTAAGACTGCTTAATTTCAGGTGGTATTTTTAGTTGCTTGAATGCATGATATTTTCAACCTTTGTATATGTAAACATGATTGTAACTAGGAAACAGTTGAAATAATGCCAATGGACACTTTGTTTTAATTATATATCCTTTCATTAATTATACTGTGTTTGGTATGGAGGCTCAAGTGTGTCACAAGGAATAATTATTACCTTTTTTTATTGGTTAATTATAATTCATCAAGCACAATACCTGTTTGTGTTTAAATGATGTAGTTAAAATTAATAAAGTAATAACTAATTTAATTTAAATAAATATGCTGTGCAACATTAATATTTTTGCCTTCATGCATTTATTTATGAATAAATAAATAAAAAGCCTTAGGATACATTAGTTACTTAGCAAGTCTTCAGAGATTTCTTTTTTCAGAAGCTGAGGGCTTTTTTGTTGTTGTTGTTTTCTTAATTATTTTTATAAAAATGTATTTCTGGGTTCTCGTTGTAGGACAGGAAGCAAGTGGCTCAATAGCACTCTCTACTGTATACAAACAGTTGTACCATTTATGATATTTTCTTTGCTGGCAATATTACAAGGAACTGTCAAATCAGCATGTAGGAGTGAGTGTTGTAATACTGTGCCTGGTGATAATAATAATAATAATAACTAGAATTACTGCCTTGCTGTTGTATACTTCTGCAGACCACTCAAGTTGCACTTACAATTTACATCCATGTCTGTGAAAACATGGATGCTTCACACACATCTTCCCCCCAGCAGCACAGAAGATCTATACAATCAGTACAGTTTCAAGATTAGTGTCACCAAATCAGTATCTGACCAAATGTCTCCCCCTCTGTTCCTCAGATATGACGCTGAGTAATGGCAAGAAAAGTATTTTTGCGTTATGCATTATGATACCAAAGTGAAGATGACCTTTGACCTTTTGGATATAAAATGTCAGCACTTCATCATACATATCCTATTAGACGTGTGTGAAATTTTGTCATAATTAGTGTAAGAATAACTGAGTTATGGCCAAAAAAACATGTTTTGTGAGGTCACAGTGAATGTGAACTTTGACCTTCAACAAACAAATTTTAATCATTTCGTTCTTGAGTCCAAGTGTACATTTGTGACAAATTTGAGGAAACCTGCTTAAGGCCTTCTTGACATACAGCGTTCATGAATGCGATAGATGCAAGGTCACAGTGACCTTGACCTTTGACCACCAAAAAATCAATTAAGTTCATTGCTGAGTCCAAGTGGATGTTTGTGCTAACTTTAAAGAAATTCCCTCATGGTGAGATATCACAATCACAAGGATGGGACGGACAGACATATGTACAGACATATGTACAGACAGACGTATGGACGTACGGATGGGCAACCTGAAAACACAATACCTCCAACCACACCTATCACCGGCACGGAGGCATAAAAATAATAATAAATAATCTTCAGTTTAACACTGAAAAACTAGGCACATGAAGAGGTCATCAAAGACTTTAGCACCTCTTGAAATTACCAGGAAACCTTTTAGAATGTGAAAGAATTTAGATTCATTGGCGCTATAATCACTGCAAAACTTAAATCAATCAATCTTAAAATTTTGACTGATTAGATTTTTTTTGAGTTCTAAGGGAAGCTATGTTCCAGTTTTGCAGAGAAGTTATGGTTGGAGTGCCACATTCAAATCTGTCACAGTTAAATTTGGTTGCCTGACTACTGCTGAAAAGAAAAAGAAAAATAGTTCAGAGTGCATCCTAAATGACGGCTCTCTCCTTTTATCTCTGTCTTTAAAAGGCTCTGATCATTGATGGAGATGATTCCAGCTCTGTGAAAGAATGCACCCTGGGAGGAGGATTAAAAAACTCAAATCTAGGTTCAGAAAAACAGCAGTCACTGAAGCTTTTAGACTGCTGAATGGTAAACCTTTGATTTACATGTTGTTTTGAGCTAATTATTTATTTCCATGAAGGTTTTCAAAGTATGATGTGTTAAATGTTGTTGAATATATATGCTGCTGTTCATATGTTCAATGATAAACTGAACTGAATAAATATGAAAAACTGTTTTAACAGCATTATTTAAATGCTAATTTAATTCATCACTATGTTAATGATCTCAGTGAAGGAAAAGATTCTATTTACCTACTGACCTTTGAAAATCAATTATTATTCTGGTGGCACACTTAAACCTCCATAGTTTGGGGCAGTTCTGACTAGCTTTATTTCTTTGGTCCTCTGTCAGTTAAAAACAGCACATATGATACATATACCATATGAGTGTGCAATTTAATGGGGCATCTAAACTCTTACAACTGAAAGACCAATCCTAACTCTAATCTGAGTCTTATACCAGCGTGCTTTATGCTGAGACTTCCTCCTGAGCTGGACCTATCATATCTGCTACAGCTCAGGCTTTTCACACTTAGGTTGCTAAGATCAACTTGCAGCAGTCCATGTATATTTTAAGCTAAATAAGAGGTCAAGTATTAGTTATCCCCCTGATCTGATTTAATTGAAGGGTTATTTTTGACACTCTGGGGTTTCTATAGTTCTCTGATTATGGAATAAGTTCATAGATAAAGAGAATAATTTGATGTATCTCCACCTAGAGCACCACAACAGCTTCAGACCTGAGGGAGACCCTGTAGTTACCCTATACACTACAGTGTACAAACATCCCTGTGATTTAACACTAACCCTGTTGGTCAGGCCATGCTTTCAGTGACTCACCGTCATTATCAGAGTCGGAGTCTGCGAGGGGGGGGATGCGGACGAGGATCTGACGGTGGTCTCTCTGGACCACCAGCTGCAGCTTCCCCCTTGACTTCTCTATCAGCTTCCCAGCGTCATGCAGAGAGAGGTTCTCTGTCACTGTCCCGTTGATCTGCGCGCGTGCACACACACGCACACACACACACACACACACACACACACACAGTACAGGCAGTCAGAAGCTGTGGCAGCTCTGATAAAGGAGCCAGGGGTGTTTCTGTCCCGCATATGTATCTTAGGAACACCTGGAGGGTCCCAGGACCCCAGGTTGGAACCACTGTGCTAGATGACTTGTCTGTGATGGATGTGTGACTGTACTGTGAATAACTGTGTGTGCACCTTGAGAATGATGTCTCCTTCCTGCAGGTTCCCATCTTTGGCAGCCAGGCCTGTACTGGTCATCTGTTTGATGAAGATCTGACTCCCCAGACGTAGACCATACTCTACAAACACACACAAAAGACACAAAACATCACAGTTACTGCAAACCCCTGCTGGAACTCAAGATAATTCAGGTTCTTGACAAAATAGGAGGTGAATGCAGATCAGCCGATCATTTGGATGCCTGGATGGATTTTTGAACACATCATGGTGGGTACAAATTCATCCAGCTAATCACTGGTCTGTACATCATTTGTTCTATGGCATTTAGATGAGGTGTTAAGAAGTGACTATGTTTTGCAATAAAAGCCAATATTACTGTTAGATAGTACTATAGTTAGCTTAACCATGTAACCATCGATACAATTTACAGTTGCAGTCAAGTGGTTTATACTGCACTCTGTACAGTGATATGGGAATAACCCTGTGCTGCTGCAGCAGCTATGGGAGTTTAAAGGTACTCTATGCAAAATTAAGAGCGTATGAGTTATCTGCACACAATAAACAGTGCTAACCAAAGGCAACAGTGCTGACTGAGCTAACAGTGTTAACCAGGGGTGAACTGGAGGGTGGGTGCTACATTTCTATGATTCTGCCATATTAGCATAGTGCGAATCAGCAGTGATGAGCTAGCCAGTGGGATACACACACGCAACAACATTATCACTTTGTAATCCAGAGTTGCATCATACATTATATTTATATTATTTCTAATGTAGAGTTAAGACAGAACGCAAAATGACAGCCACTTATACACTTTTTGGAAACTGGGTGTTGCATGAAGAATTTGGAGCGCAGTCAAAAGTTTAATAAAACTTTAGTCATGGAACTCTGACACTGGGGCTTTTTTTTTTTTTTTTTTTTAGAAAAATAGAAATAATTTGCTATCAGCTCCTAAAGGGACTTATGAAACTTGTCAGTTGGAGAGCAGTTTTCCAGAGGAGGATGCACAATTTGGAGGACATGTGCTACATATCAACAAGTCCTGCTTCAACAACATCGATCGGGTCTTGCATCTACAAAGTTAGTCAATATCTTTTTCATATTGCCAAGAATGTTTGATATCAAACTGATGCTCAACAGGCTGTCTAACTAGTTTTAATATGTCATTTATCAGTGAGACAGTGATAGCTCAAACAGAGAATAGCTCAAACCGTTAGGCCCCGATCACACAGACCGTTTTGCAGGTTGGAAAACACAAGGCCACTAGTATAAAAAAAGGCTTGCTGTGCCTTTTTATTGTTGTCAGACAACCATGCCATCACCTCCTTAACCTAACCTTCCCATGTAATTAATCTACAGCTTATTTATTTATTTATTTATATATATTATTTCACAGTAATTAGTAGCTAGTTCCTAAAATGGACAGGCAGAGGGTGCTTGCTCAAGGACTGGTTGAGGGTGAGAGGCTGTCAACACATAGTTTGAGGGGCACAGGGATATAGAGATCTGTGTGTGTACATGAGACCCTAGAAAAGAGGGCGGAGCACAGGGAGTACCACCAGTTGGTCCAGGGCTGTATAGCTCTGGGTAACCAGCAACTACTTCCACCAGTTTCTCTTCCATTGATTAGCAACTGTAAATGTGTTGTCGTGACCACCACAGAAGGCCCGCCTCTCAAATCATCCAGTTGGAAAATGGGAAAAAAGCAGAGATGACTTTTCTGCTCTGAGTTGAATTTTTTTTCAACTTGAAGAGTTCAGAGTGATCCAGCAAAAAACGAGTTTAGAAACACGAGGTGCGTAGCAACGCAAAAACAGCAAGCAAAAAGGTTAATTCCCATTAAAAACAATTACAAAAAGCATCCTCCTGCTGCTAAAATGCTTTCTGTGTGATCGGGGCCGTGAGCCTATATCTATAAGCAGTTTTTTGTTGTTTTATTTTGGTAACAAATGGTTTGCATCTGAGGACTTACATTCTGGTTAATACATATTGATATATTGATATTGGAATATTTTACTTCCTGATAACAACATTGGCCCAGATTGATGAGGCTCTAATCTCAGGTGCTGTCATGTTTGGTAAGCGTTAGGGGAAGTCTCTGACAAGCCAGATTTAAGAATTTTACTTTATTGCCATAGCTCAAAGCTGATGCTAGTAAGCTGTTTTTTCTTTGCCGCACAACATCTCATAGGCTCATTTCTCTGGGTCATCCAACAGGACGGTAGCAGTATTCATGTTGACACTGCCCTTTTAAAAAATTTATTTAATTTTGATCTCTTCTAATAATAATAATTTTTAAACTGCTAAATGAAGTTATTGTTTTATCAAATGTGCCTGTCGACAGTAAACTGTAGATTGATCTAAAGTAACACCCTGAACAGAATGTTACTGTAAATCCAAATAATAGCAGAAATATACTGCATTAAATTTTTATGGTAAACAGTATGGATACTGTAAAATTACTGTATATTTCTGGTGTCTGTGCTGCCAGCTCTTGACTCTTATTTTACAGTGGAATTATATACAGTGAACTCTAGTCATTTCAATGGCTGCAGTTACTACTGTACTGCATTATAGAGGTATTTAATAATACTTTAATATTTTGAATGTGTAACAGTAGTAGAAAACTTGAAAACAAAGCATGACTATGGTTGATGTGTTTCTGTCTGCAACAAGTGAAAACAGAATAAAGTAAATTTTTTGATTAAAAATGAAAGACTATCACTGTCTGTTAAAAAAGTGTCATTCTCACTGTTTTATCTGCAGTCATTAAACATATGCTCATCTCAGTGAATTGGGTGACACTGGAAGCTAGTCGATGTGTTTTACCTTCACTGGGTCTGTTCTTCACCAGCAGGACGTTGACAGGTTTCTCCAGCGGCTCCCGCTCTCTGGAAGGTTCTGGGGATGGAGGGTTGTCATTAAGTCGGTCCCTGCTCCTATACCTCCCTCCTCTTCCTCCTCCTCCTTCTCCTCGCTCATACTTGTCCTCCATGCGATAGCTGTCCCCTGGGCTGCGGCCTCTGCTGTTGTACCTGTGACGCTCGGCGCTGGTGTCCAGGGCTCGTCCTCGGCTGCCATCCCTCCTGGATCTGTCCGGGCTGGGCGAGCTTCTCTCCTGGCTCCTCCCGCGGCTCCTCCCTCTCTGGTTGGAGTCCCGCCCTCCCCTGTACTCAGGGTCCAGGTATCCTTTGCTGTCCATAGTGTGGTCCCGGCCTTCATCACGGTACCAGCCGTTGTCATTATCGGCGTCATAGTAGTGAGAGGAAGGAGCGTATTCCCGACTCTCTCCACCTGGGGAGGGGGGCTGCTTCTGTGAGTGGACTGACACCTTACGAGGTCTCTTCACCGTCTGGTAGAGAAGGAAAAAACAATGCAAAAGCCCTTTAATAAAAACTGTTCAGATCCACAGACCTATCAGATGAGCTCAAGTAACCCTTTAGTGTCAACACCCCCCATTCTGCAAATGTGTGATGTTTTCATTTCAGCACATTTTAAACAACAGTATTTAAAACTGGGGTAAGCAGTTTAATTATGGCACCACTGGGCAGAAACCCCATAACCACCTTTAGCGTGTTTTCTTTCATGTGGACTGAGAGAAAACTTGACTTCTGTACCTCCTCTTGGCTCTGTTTTCAGGCTTTAGAAAATCTAGCCTGTGATAGGAAACTTTGACCAATCACACGTCATTTCAGGATGAAGGCATTCCTATTGGCTGTTCTACAAATGCAGATGCACGTCCCTTTGATGAAAGCCTGATTCAATGCCAGACAATCCTGCAGAGAAAGTTCCAGCATTTGCAACGACTGCCTACAAAGCAAAGCAGCAACCCAATAAAAGGAAGACAGACTTATCAAAAAGCGAGTCTAGAAGAGAGTCTGACAATAAACAAGTGTTTCAGAGATGGAGACACATTAGGTGCGGTTACATGATGGCTTCTCATTCAGAATGAAATAAATCTGAATGAAATCATTCATAATTAAAGTTTTTCCAGGTAGTTTACATGAGAAATATTCATTCCGAATGAGGGTTTACATGGGAGAACAGTTTAATCGCCTTTATTTGGGTCTGCGCAAGGTTTGGGGCAGGGAAGGTTTCTGATTGGATAGGGGGCGGGGCAGATGTTACGTGTTTACGTTTACCGGAAGAAAACACTGTATAGTCCTCGCTCCGGATAACAAGATGCTTGACGACGCTGTTCTTAGTGCCTTTTTCGGGCTTGTTTTGCTTATATTCTTGAAGCAGAGGTAGGCTACAACAACAACCTTGTTCTGCTATAGGCTTGTGCCGGTTTGAAAATTTTCCAACCGGTTTGATTTAAAGCCAAATATCTAACCGAACCAATATATCGAATTATATACCTAATTTTACCACTGGGGGTCGCATTTGAGCTATTTTTCCCAATAAAAGCCCATTATAGGTGTAATGCGCTTGCAATCCATTAGGTGGCGGTAATGCTGTATTAACCATCAATACAGACAAGGTTACACAAGAAGAAGAAGAAGAAGAAGAAGACGCAGAAGGACACCAAGGAACCTTCCTCCGACTCTGCTCTCTCAGCGGAGACACGGCGGTTGAGAGGGCCGAGCAAGAGGACTTTCCTGTAGTAGTTCCAGCCCCCCAAGTATAGTACCAGGAATTTCTTCAGTGGAAACGGCTTACTAGAGCAACAAACTGAATGACTGCTGTCTCCCTTGCACCTTTCCCTGCCCCCAATGAAATTTAATCTCTCGCAGCAGCAGCAGACAGCTGAGCGGAGCAGAGTTCCTCTGAAGCCTCTGAGACAAACTAAACAAAACACTTGTAGGCTCCTCCACTTCATTTATAAACAAACATAAACCTTATTAAGTTGTCATAATGCATGTTACAATGCAAGATAAGTTGAATGAGTCCCTTGACATGCCACCGATGTGAATTTTTTTTTTTTTTTTTCTCCTCCGGTTTATCCGGTTGACGTGAATTAAACTGGGTGGAGCTCTTAAACCGGGCCGAACCAGTTAAACCGGAAATCGGCACAAGCCTATTCTGCTAATACTTCGTTTGTTGAGGAGGAGAAGGGAGGTAGAAGACCGTGCTGTGGTGAATGGAAACCAGTGAGTGCAACAAGTCCGACTGCTCTATTTCAGCCCGTTGCTATGTGCGCTGTATACGTTATCGCGCCAGAAGAGCAAGGAAACAAGCATGCGCAGAAAGAACAGAATGGCTGGAATCGGGTAGGAGGTGTATACAAGACAGAAAAATTCTTCCATTCGGGTTCTGAAAAGGAATATTCCACCCCTGGGCACCCAATTAGATTTTCTTACGGGTTGTCTGTTTTCACTTGGGTTGAGGTGTTTACAAGGAACATTTCTATTCAGGTAGGGCTTCCAATCCGAATGCAAAAGGAATACATGGCTCCATGTAAACACACATAATGTTACTAACAGTCTGGCCTTCTGCTAACCAGAACTAAAGGCTTATGTCAGCAACTTCAAGTTCATGTCTATGTTTGAGATGTTCCGATTGAGTTTTATGCCCCCGATCCAGATTTGAGTCATTTAAGTATGAGTATGAGTCCCAATTTTATACTTCTGTTTTCCTATAGCCTATGTTTGACAAATGAATAGTTCTGCAATGCATCAGGAAAAAACCTTCATACTAGCTGTTTCTGAGTGTTTATTTTCTTTCTTTATTTATTTATTTACAAAGTAAACAGAAAAAACCATTAAACTGAAATAAATTGTCTCGTACTGTATTTTGCTGTCTTCATGGCGTGTGGTGTTGTGTCATGGGCGGGTCTCAGCCCCTGCTCTCACACACACGGAAGCAGCAGAGTGGAGGAGAGACAGACAGCTGAGGACTGATGACAGCTGCACTCCCTGTGTCTCTGCACGAAAGCTTAGTGATAAAAACACCTGTATGACAGCTTTCATGGAACAAAGAACTAGATCGGGCTCTATACCAAATCCTGATCAGTTAGAAAAATGCCTTGATCAGCCAGAACACCAATATTTGAGATCAGATCAGGACATCCCTAACATTGGCGGGAACCTTGAATCCCAGTGTGTTCTCCTCCTCACTCCCCACCCTTACAGACCACTTTGCTGGGAGGAGAGCTGGGAGCCTTGAAGACAGACCTCAACAAGGAAACACTATATGAAGTGTGTGCATATGCCCATGGTCGACTGGTGGGAGGGGCTTAGGCCAGAGAGGGCAGAGCTTCAGAAGGAGGGCATGTTTTTCAAATTCTGCCTTTTTTTTTTTTTTTATTGCCTTTTCTAGATTTCTGCCAACCCAAGCTTCAGCACTACTTCTAATAATAACAATTACTGAAATTGTTACAGTTGTTTCATACCACACATAGTGATCATGGACCTCAATGTTTGGATTCTTTTTTGCAAGCCAAACATCAAGTTTGCATTCATTCTTTCTATTTAGAGTGCCAGAGGTTTTCAAATCAATTGAGCTACTTGACAGCCTTTTCTGCATACCCCTAGCAACTGCTGTACTTTTGTTGGTTTGGAATCACTGACTAAGATCATTTGATGTTACTGAAAACATCAAATAACCAGTTAAAGCCAACAGTAATTTTTTTTTTATAATTTTTCTCACAGAAATCTAGACAACCCTGGTGTTTACATGCTGGCAGTTTGTGACAACACACAAACATGGTGCATGGTGTAAAGGTGACAAAGTAATCTCACAGACATAAAGTGTACATTAGGCCAGGAGGAGCTCCCAACAAGCAGAATTGAACACACTACAGAGCAGCTCCACCAAAAAGAACAAGAATACACAGACAGACTTTATCTATTAAGTGACCTGTTTGTTCAGCGAGACAAAAAATCAACTCTAACAGAAAGACATAAAAAAAAGAAAGCTGGCTTCAAACTAAATGGCTTCTTTGTCTGAGTCAGACAGGAGTAAGAGTAAAGATACAGCTGTATGTCGTGAAAGCGGAGATTCAAAGCAGCAAATCAGATTCCCTTGACATGTCAGGCATTTATATTTAGCTGTGTGGAGCAGTGAGATTAGACCACTGTACACACAGGAGAGAAGGACTGCTAGTTTTAGAGATGCAGCAGCGCGAGAGGCAGTCAGGCTGAAAACCTGAGAAACACACACACACACACCACACTTACTATCTGTTCTTGTAGATGAAGTGTTACAGTATTGCAAATAGTGAGTGCACCTCCTCTGCACTTCCTCCTCAACAGTGCTGACTTGCCACCACATTAAAAAAAAAAACAAAAAACAAAAAAAAACATATAACATGAATTACGGCTCACAAAAATAGTTGGACTTAAGAGTTCATTCTGACTATCTTGGGGAAAATGTTTAAGCCTGGACACAATAGAGCTGGGCTATATGGACAAAAATTCATATCTCAATATTTTCAGGCTAAATGGCGATACACCATACACATACCATAAAGCTGCACAACATGTACATGAAAAATTATATAAAACAAATAGCTGGGCTGTATGTAAACTTTTTGCACAGGGTTGCAGAGGTTTAAAGGTTTTGCAGCACAGGACACAAAACTATAATATGAGCATAAAGGTATCAAGTAGGCCTAAATCCATGTTGTTTGAAACAATCAAAAATCTTTGTGGAGTTAAAACGGCATTTTCCATGGCCTTTGAAATGAATCTAGTGCTGGAAAATGATTCATTTAGGCTATTAATCTTATTCATGCACAGAGCATCAACAGAGAGGCAGAGAGAGGGTAGGAGTGAGAGACACTTTGTCCTCATCATATACTGTATGTCTTGTATATTAAACATCTGTTTTGTTGCTGCGTTATTTGTTTTAAGCCACCTGTCACCTGCATCTAGGTGTTGCCTAAATGTCACACAACAGACTACAACTACCAAGAAGAACGGCGATGCGCTATGATCCACCTCACACACAAACTAGCAAACAAACGCTCACCTGACACTATCAAGCAGCTCTGTCTCCCACACATGCAGCGCAACTCTGTACTGCACATGTGCTACTGCGGTCATTTTATTCATCTCAGACTGATTTAGCATAACATGTGCAACATGTAGATCAATGTCACACTGCAGACTAATTAACAGAGATTGAACAGCAGCAGCAGCTCTGTGTCTCTCTGAGTGTTGCTGGAGTAAATGAGTGACTGAGGCAGAGATGTGCAGAGACTGTAAGAGAAGAGAGATGCACACTGGTATGCTTTATGTAATGCAACTTGACCCTATATGGATATAAACTGTATTGTCTAAAACTACTATATTCTGCTTGAAAACATATCGATATATTGTACATAGTCGTTATACTGCCCAGCCCTAGGACACAAGCCACATTTTAGCCCACTCAAATCCACTGTTGTCAATACAGACATGCAGAAGACGTGCTCAAAAGCATGAGCAACACCGTTGGGCATGCAGGAGTTTCCAAGGGACCACTTTCCACAGCATGACAGCTGCAAAGTTCAACTTTTGGAACACAGCAGCATGCACAGCTTGTCATGTGATGAGAAAGAACCAATCACAACTGACAGATATCCTTCTTTCTTCCCTAAAAATCAGTATGGAGAAGAAGTTAACCAGCTTTACATCTGTATCACGGACAGCATTTTAATACACACTAAAAAACAATGCTTGGAAGAAGGTTAGCTGTAAACTCCACATTTCTGATAAGTGCTGTAGGCTATGATATGGTGGTTATGGTCATTTAGCAATGTCAGAAACAACTTGCCTCAGCCCCCTTGAAAGTTGGCACATGAGTAGCATCATGATAGAGGGATGGATGGGCAGATAGAGGCATGGATGAAATGACAGGCAGACAATAATGGATGGATGGATGGATGGATGGATGGATGGATGGATGGATGGATGAATGGATGGATGGATGGATGAATGGATGGTTGCATTGTGGGTAATACAGGCCCCAGGTTTTGAGAAAGACAATATCTCGGGTTCTGTTGCATCAATTTTAAACTCTCAATCATGAGTTCGACCATGTTGTTGGACTGAAATTCATTTAGGAAAACAGTGTGTGTGCCCTGGCCCAAAATCTATGCAAGCAAAACACAAACACATGTTAACACTGTTCTTTCTTTACCTCTCATTTACATTAACACAGACACATTGTCTGGTCCTGTAGATGTACAGCACTACAGCACTAAAAAACAGATGTGATGAGTGTCAGTCAGCCCTCTGCAGACTCTTCCCTTCTCTCACACTAACACACACAGACCTAAATTCACAGATATGAGTCATTATCACACTTCATTGGCACTGTATGTGTGTGTGTGTGTGTGTGTGTGTGTGTGTGTGTGTGTGTGTGTGTGTCTAGTTGGGGTGTATCATCATGGACCCCAGTCATAAGACACACACACACACACACAGAGTGTTGTTTGGTGCTGAAGGTGTGTCAGCTCCCCCCGTCCCTCTGTAGTGTGTTTGTGTTTGCAGAGCTGCAGTGATGACTCAGTGATCTGCCTCAGACCTTTCAGCTCCTCACTCACTACTGACTGGGAGTCAGTTTATACTCCATCAGAACTTAGCTCATACAACATGTTGTCTGACCACGTCGGAAATCAAAAGTGTGAACATCAACACTAGTGAACTAAAATTATTGCTCTGCAGTTGTATGCCTTGTGAACCAGTCAAGTTTCTCTTACAGTTTATATCCATGTCTGTGAAAACATGGATGCATCACACACATCTCTCCCCCCAGCACCACAGGAGATCTATACAATCAGCACAGTTTTAAGGTGGCCATGCAAGATTAATGTCACCAATTCTGCCCAAATGTCTCCCCTTCTATTCTTGAAATATGATGTTGAATAAAGGCAAGACAAGTGTTTTTGAAGAACATTATGATGTCAAAGTGAATTTGGCATTTGACCTTTTTGGATATAAAATGTCACGACATGATTTTATCTTGTTAGACATTTGTGTGAACTTTTGTCACAATAAGCATCCCAATCATTGAGTCATGGCCAAAAACATGTTCTGTAAGGTCACAGTGATCCTGACCTTTGACCACCAAATTCTAATCAGTTCTTTTTGACTCAAAGTGGGCATTTTTGAAGAAATCCCCTAAGTGCCCTCTCAAGTTGGGTTCACGAAAATGAGACAAACAACCCAAAAACATAATGCCTCCTGCCACAGCTTTCCCCGGCAAGGAGGACAAGGAGGTTGCTCATCTCTGAGGTTGTGAGTGACAAAACCAGCAGTTGTTCAGAGTGAAATATCTAAACAACCAAGAAAAACTTTTTCAACCACAGCGCCCTCACAGTGAAATTTATTTTCATGTCATGTTGAGTTAATATGAAAACAGGCAAGTGTCAAAAGTCATGTTACCAATCTGAACTGTGTACTGTAAAAGGTCACTGTGTCTTCTTTGTGTGTGGTTAATACTCACTATTTTAGCCACTTTTCCACATTTACGGAGGGACTGCACAGCAAAAGAATGAGGCACGTTGTCCATGGGGATGTTGTTGACCTGAATGACACGATCATTCTCACTGGACAAAAAAAGATAGACAGAAATAATGTGAGATAATAGCAAGAACAAAAAAAACATATAACATTAACATTAAAGAAATGTTTCACAAATAATAAAAAGTGTCCTATTTCCACTAAACTTCACTGCAGAAAAAACTCTTTTCCCTACATTAATTTATGGCAAGTTAATCTAGGTAGATAATGAGCTAAGTATTATACTTTGGACTTTTTGTACGATTATTTTACTACAAAACACTTAGCTCATACAGCACAAGCTATTCAAAGTATATTTATAGCCACTTTTTGTGTTATTTTTAGCAAAATACAGCAGGCACAGCAGGCAAATCATTCCAGTGAAGTATTTCACACTGAAGAGGATTTTTGTCACAGTTTGACAGACTCACAAGAGTAATCCATCTGCTGGTCCTCCCTGCAGCACGTCTGACACGATGATTGATGTCTCACCGTTGTCCACATTGGGGTTGTCACGCCCACCTGACACAGCGATGCCGAATCCCATCTTAGAGTCCTACAAAGAATCAAATCAATTAGTAATTACAGTACATTCAGACAGACTGTGACTCACAGTGACACTGAGCCAAACTGGAAGGGAGAACTGGTGTCACTACTTTTGACCAGACAGTCACAGAGATGCTGTAGGATATACTTCATCTGGTGTCAACCATGTCCCATTAAAATGACCTATTTAAACCACTGCATTATTTTACATAGTACACTCTGTAGGATGCATAATTGCTGCTGTTATTATGCTCACTGCCAATGTGTTTTCTGTTTCATGAAATGTGACCTACTTGCACACCACAGAAGTCGTGGGGAGATGGTTTATGTGGATGGCTGGCATAAAAAGCACAGGACTTTAATGCCAGAGAGGAGTTTGCATCCTATTTCTTACATGACACTCATGGTTTAGGGTGCTAGATCATGGAGTAAACATGTCATGTTTCAAGTCAGCGACTGTTATTCAATATTCAGCTAAGACAACCATCTTTCCCTCACCTAAACCAATTGCTTGGATTTGCTTTAAAATAACCATATACTAGAATTATCACCTTGCAGTTGTACGCCTCTGCCAACCAAATAAGTTGCAGTTTAAGTTTACATCCATTTCTGTTCAGACTCATATGTAACCATACCAGTAGACAGTGCTTTAAATATAGGCATTGCTGCAAATAAGCTACATATTCTAAAACATGGATGCTTCACACACGTCTTCAGCCCAACAACACAGAAGAGCTATACAATCAGCACAGTTTCAAGGTGGACACTCAAGATTAGTGTCACCAATTCAGTATGTCACCAAATGTCTCGCCTTCTGTTTCTGACTTATAATGTTATATAAAAAAACATTATGACGTCACAATAAAGTTGACCTTTGACCTTTTGGATATAAAATTATGTTACTTCATCATTATTCTAATAAATGTTTCTGTTAAATTTTTTTCATCATAAGCGTATGAATTCTTAAGTTATGGCAAAATACATGTTTTGTGAGGTCACAGTGGCCCTCATTTACTAATAATGTGCATAGAAACATTCTTACTCTGCTTATAAAATATGTGCGCATCGAGGATCACCATCAAATTCATGACATGTGCACATTGGTAGATTTTGTTCTAACCAGCATGTGTATGTTGGTGAATCAGAATGGGTCCATGTCATTGGTTCGACAGTCCATTGGTTCGACATCCCATTAGTCCGACTGTCCGCGGTGCTGAACGGCTCGCGGCGGGCGTATGGTGCGCTGCGATCGGCTTGAGGCGGAGCAGGCTCACGGCTTATCACGTTTGTCACTTTCTTTTTCATTTTAACCCACACCATGATCTTTTCCTGACCCTAACCAAGTGGTTTTTGTGCCTAAACCTAACCAGACCTTAACCACAGGGCATCATGATGATTTCGGAACAGACTTCGAAACAATGAGTTTAATATGGTCGGAACAATGGGATGTCGAACCAATGGGCAGTTCCCATCAGAATCATTCTAAACTGACAGTGCCATGTTAGCGATTTGCAATCAGCATACTGCCACACCCCCACTTCTCTATATAAGAACATACATTTGCCCAGAGGCACATCATGGAGAAAGCAGTGAAGTTGTTTCTACACACATATTAAAGCCCTAACATACCAGTGTCTGACCCTCAGTGAGCATCTGTAAATGTTATGGCAGTCAGAAACAGCTGATAAGCAGTTTGTCACTCTCTTCAAACATATTGGCCTCTGATTCGTTCGCCTGAAGGCACAGAAGGCATCATCTTCCAGCAAGGCTAAATATGACATCTTAACACCTGATTGAAGGTAGATCAGAATCTTAATATACCCTGCATGATTATTTATAGGCTAACAATTAACCAGTTGGCTACAAATGACCATATGTGCAATTTCTATAAAATAAAAATAAAATAAATACTGGAGCACTCTGTTTTCATAGTTAAATTTTTTAATCAAAAATTGATGAGGATAAAAGGGCATCAATTTCATAGATTTGACTATTGCATTAGTCAAATGTACAGCTTTAAGCATTGCACATTAAAGCCTTTTTAAATAAATATGCTTTTAATATGTTATGGATCAGTTAAAAGGTGTGTATTTACATTTTCTGAGAAAGCCGGGCCTTCAAGGTTTGTGTGTACTTATGGTCTGACACAGCTCTAAATCTGTTCACAGAGTAGGAAGAAATTGAGGTTGGAAAACTTTGATAAATCCCAGATTTTTACTTATACATTTATATGCACGGTTTAACACAGATTTGTATGTATGCACTGTTCGTGATTGCAAGCAGTGATCTTTGACCACTTAAAATCTAATCAGTTCATTGTTGACTCCAAGTGGACGTTTGTGCCCAATTTGAGGAATTTCCCTCAGGCGTTCCTGAGATACCACAATCACGATTAGTGAACAATTCACAGATATGTTCAGTAACAATCATTTTCTCATTACCGTATTGATAAAAAAGGTATTTTCTTTCAAAATCTTTATTGCTATTTCACAGTACATTAAAAATATCATTAAAGAGATGGGGTTGATGATGGGAATGTAAGTTGTGGTCCTCACTGTGGTGCTTTTCAAAAATAATCTATTGACTTCAAACATTAGAGGTCAGCTAGGATCAGGGTAGATCTGCTTTTAGAAAAATATTAATTTGCGATGTAAAAATCTAGCCTGGATGAGGAAATGGTAATTTATTCTATTGTTGCGAGACACACTAAAAAGAAAAAATGAGGTTGAATATGTCATTTAAATGTGATTAAATGTGGATTCCTGAGTATTTTATTGATATCAATCTCAATGCAGTTGATCCATGCCTGACCCAGCTGATGGGGCAGACACACACTTTATTCTGGCTATTTATTAGATCCAAGACTGACAGATGTGAGTTTAGAAGAGAAGTATACACATATGAACTGATTTTAAAATATTGTAATCTGGCCTGAAGGTCTTTTATGCAGCTGTTTTCTGTATAAAGATAGCCTGAGAATCTATAGAAAGTGCAAAGAGCAATGGTGATAACAGGCACCCCCAAGGAGTTCCACTTTTAAAAGAAAATAAGACAATTCAGAAATACAAGACAGCACAAAACAAACAAACAGATTTAAGAGGCGTACAGGTATAACAATGTAGCATCTTTAAGTGACCTTGGGAATAGAATAGAATAGAATAGAATAGAATAGAATAGAAGTCTTTATTGTCATTGCATACCAGATACAACGAAACTGGAGATGCTGCTCCTAATGATGCTTGACAACCTTCTTACATAAATAATACTGATAAAAAACTCACCCACACACATCCCACATCATAAATCATAGAACTGACATTAATAACAACAACAAGTCCAACCCCTAGTTAGACCATAGTGGGAAAAGTTGTGGCAAACAGAAATGCTTTACGCCTCGATTTAAAAGAACAAAATGTTGTCGCAGACCTCCAGTGTTCAAGAAGTGTGTTTCAGATCTTTGGTGCATAATAACTGAGAGCTGCTTCTGCATGCTTGGTTCTGGCCCTGGGGACGGTGAGCAAGCCTGTCCCAGATGATCTAAGAGCTCTGGATAACAGAGCAGCATATCAGACATGTATTTTGGCCCCAAACCATTCAGTATTTGCAGGTTAATAATAATATTTTGATATGAATTCTCTGATTCATAGTAGGCTAGTGCAAGGATCTAAGAACTGAGGTGATGTGTTCCTCTTTCATGGTTTTAGGGAGGACTCAGGCAGAATATGCTGCAGTTGTTTTAATTTTTTTTAAAGAGGCCTGTGAAGACAAATAACCAAGACTACTAAAAACAAGGTTTCTTTAAGACTTGCTGTGACATGAGTCTGTTAAGTAATTATGGACTGAGACCCTATTACAAGTTGTCTGAGAGCTCAAATGTCTTGGGGTGCCCAAACTTTTACATGGTGCTCCTTCTATTTTTTCACTCTAAAATAGGACTAAACAAAAATAGTCCACTAATAATGTTTAAAATGTTGAAAAACATGTTCCATCTTTACCTTCATGCCATTTGGAGATCAATTTATCTTCAACTACAGTAACTTAATTATTCACAGAAAAAGAAATTTTTGACCAGGGGTGCCCAAACTTTTGCATGCCACTGTAGTGGTTTTTCACCACCAAAAATAAATATTTTCTTAAAATCCTTATTTAACTGAAGAAAATTCTGGAACATCCAACCTGTGATTTATTGAACACGCTCATTCTGTGACTGTACTGGTTCTTAACCATCTGGCTTTATTCTTACTGTATGTAAATCTGTATGTCATCTGCATAATTATGGTAGGATCTTCCAAGGTGGGAGCTAGTGGGAGCATTTAGATGTTAACCTCTAATACAGAGGTGCTGACATTTTGTCTGCTTTCTTTGAATTCTGTTTGTGAACAAGGATGCAAAGTTGTTGCATGATTTGTTAGAGAGGAGCGCAGGGTCCACTGATATGTGGGAGGTTTGTCAGAGGTTGATTAAATTTGTTCAGAGGTTTCTCCGGGTCCACCTGGACCCTAGGACCTGAGACCCAACCTGGGACCTGCACATGTTCGGGTCCATGCTTTATTATGGTCAGTCAGGCCTGGGTCCTAGTCTGTAGCAAAAACAAGGTGAAAATAATATTAAACAACAGTGCCAGCGAGTGGGAGGAAGGAAGGAAAAATGAATACGCATCCGTGGTCTTGGTTTTCTCCCCTCTTGGACATGCACAGGGTTACTGCTTTAATATCTCAAGCAAAATTGGGACAGACATATACAGTTGAATGATGATCAAAGAAAAATGATCAGGTCCAATCAGATCTCAGGACTTTTTTCCCTCCATTAGGGTTTGAGTCCATCATTTTGGACCCATGAAGACCTCTACTTTGTTCCTCTGTATAGTACTTCTCTCCCATTAGAATAGTGCAGTACCAATCACTGCTTACATGTCAGCAGATTTAACTGTACATTGTGCCAGGGTCCTATAACCACCAGTGGCCCCTGCTCAGCCAAGTTACTGTCTCACTTTAGGATAAATTGTTAGAGTAAAGTGTGCGGGTTAACAGTTTAAGTTAATCTCCTTCCTGCTCTCTGCCTGAAGACTGACGACAAACATACAATAGACTGACAGACTTCAGCAGAGATAAATGACTAAAGTGGATACATTTTTTCTTTGGAAAAAAAAGATGGATTAATGAAGATTTTAATGCTAAATGATGTTCATAATCAGAATTTGTGCTGTATCAGGAGTAAGTTGTCAGATGTCAGGGATTGATAAATGCATCGTCTAGTCCCCAGATGCTTCAGGCTGATGAATAGATGGACGGATGCCTCTTCTTTTAACTACACAGTTAGTGAATGAACTCACCCGCTGCAGAGTGACTGTGTACTGCTCCCAGACCATCTCTTCCATCCCTGAGCTCTGTAGGGAAAACAGACACCACAGGGTTAGCAAACATGCATTTTAACCTCAGCTACAGAAAACACTCACTGTATAAGGCCCCTGTGAAGAAAGTAAAAAAAACAGTCCTAAAAAAGTCAATAACCTGTTAACTTTTTACAATGCTTCAACATATATATTCATAGAAATACACATTAAACAAATCTACAAATCTGTCTGAAGCATGAGCATATTGATCACTGGGGGCTGAGCACATACAAGTGGAAAGGAGACTAATCCAGATTAACACACACACACACACACACACACACACACACACACACACAAACACACACACACACACATCAGAGGAAGAGGGCATGTGTGGGTGTGGGAAGTGACCTCTGTGAAAGAACAGTCAGTATCATGTCAATAACAGCAGGCTGCATGTTGTCCTGCCTGGCTGGTGTATAATTGTAATTGGACAACTATTCCAGCAGACATCTGCCCATCTGCCCATCTCTCTCTCTCTCTCTCTCTCTCTCTCACACACACACACACACACACACACCAAATAACTGTAGCGTGAGAGACCTTGACTTCTCTTCTAGGCTCTGTATACTACATTGCATGCTACTCAAACTGTTAATTACTTGAAGGTCTTTATCACGTTTGATGATCACTTGTCATCGTACAGCCTATAACCTATTTGTATACAAGTGCCGTAACCATTTTTAATCATTTTAAACTGAAGACGATCTGACTGAGATCAAAACATTGTCCAATTAAAATAAATGTCTGGTTTGAGGTCAGTGTGCAGGCACTACTTGACACCATTTTCCAAAATGTGCTGTGCAGAAAATTACACTCTTCTATGTTGTTAGAGAACCAATCTTGGGATGTAATAAGCTGTCATAAAACATATACAGGATACAATACTGTTGTTTCTGCCATTGAAAGAGTAAATCCATACTACCCCTTTGCAGGTTTATTTTGGGATTACTGGGTCCTGAAATGCCTGATTTCACAGCAGCTTTTCTAAAAATTTCCCATGCAATAGGCATCTATAGGCATTTATTGCAACAAAATTGTGGGGGCAAGAGAAAATTAGTTGTGATGTCACAGACTCAGAGCTTATTATGATGAGCATTCAGTGTTTCACGTGGAATTAGAATCTATTTGCAATGGTGGGGGGGGTGGGGGGCAGCAACAGCTGATTGCCGCTAATCAGGCGTTGCTGCTGTTTGATGCAGTGCTGTTCTCTCTGACAGGTTAGTGGGAGCTAACACAACACAACGGGTCTCATCCCTATACTCATCATATTTTGTCTCTTGGCAGAAGACCTGCAGCAACTGCTTACATCCCACACTGAGGCGTTAGCTCACACCGGCAAGGCTCAACTCTGTCATTAAACCTATTAAACCATTAGTCGTGTGATGCTAACAGTCAGCTATGTCACTGTGTGTGTGTGTGTGTGTGTGTGAGAGGCACACAGCAGCTGCTTACTGCTGGACCCACAGCAGTAAGGCCTCATCTCGTAAACACAGAAAGAGCGAGGCAAGGAGGGGCTAAGTGAATCAGTCACGAAGTTCAGAAATAATCTGACATTTTACCTGCCTTAAATAGTCACATTTGTGGTAAAATTGTGTTTAATGAGTTAGGGTTAGTCAGTGCAGAATTCACAGGGACAACCTGAATTTGCGTTAATTGTTGCATAAGGGTGGGGCGATTCATCGATGTCATCTATTACAGAAATACATCAACTTGCAAACTGGGCGTCAGCGTGTCACATTAAAGTAAGCTGCACCTGATAACTGCATGGATTCCTCCAGAAAACAAGCTACAGCTGAAAACCTTGCCCACAGAGGGAAAATGACCTCCTACCGCAGTACAACTGCAGCACACAGACACTTGAAAAGCATCATGGAGTGCTTTGTCAAGACAGTGGCAGAGAGCACCGTCCTGTTTACTTTTTGTCATCACCCAAACATGATGTATTAGAACTATCAACATGTGGAACTTGTTTCTGTTATTAGTAGCCACATAAATGTCCTGCACTGCTGCTGATGTTACACCATGCGTTACCTAAGGTTGTTAGTCAGCTGTTTTATATTTTGTATTTAATTCAACAGGCATGCACGAGTGAGAAAACAGCTTAAATCAACTTTGCAGACTTGTTACAGTGAATGCAAAAACACATTTTTTCAGTAATGATCTTAACTGCATATTACTACCATGATGAAACAAATCCATGTCATAGGAATTTTAAGTTTTAAGTCAGGCACTTCAGAAAAATTCCTGATTCTCCAGATCAGGGGAAGGATTACAGTGATTTAATTAATATATGCGTCACAGCAATCCTTTTGAATTTGAGGTCCATTACTTCCTGTTCAAGTATCAGGCACATATGGTCTTAAATTACTATCAGTATCATCATAACCCAGCAGTGATGTGGAAATTAGACTAATTTTTAAATATGCTGCTATTGTTTTTAAGAGAAGATGAATGAATAAAATATTCAAATATTTGAGCAAGTTTTTGTTATTTACATTTGGGTTATTTAAATGTTCCATGAACTGAGTTATAAAAAATTATTTTTAGAACAATTGATAAATTAGTCGTTAGATTAACTGACCAATCATAAAACATAGATTAATCTCTTTGCTGTTAGGCTAAACTAAGTATTTTCTAATGCACAAACTAGTGGACTAGTGTGTATGAAGTAAAATCACTTGCAGAAAAAAAGATATTGAATTCTTGCACACCATCAGCACATTTTGGCCATGGACCTTCTAGTTTTGGGAATGGATCCTGAGGTCTGTACTATGAAGCAGGATTTGGAGTTAGCGAGGTAACTTCAAGGTTAACTCTTCAGTACTATGAAGCTGGTTCTCTTTTTACTGGGATAAATCACCTGCGCAGGTTATGTTCCGAGTATTGGATCACAGCCTGTAAACACACCAACCTCTAACCAATCATATCACTGTAGAAAAAAGAATCCATGGACGAAAGTCTGGAGTCTCAAGTAAAAAAAAGAGTAGTGTATATATTGTTATCGGCCAGCAAAATCATTTCCTTGTCCCAGGGGTCTGTCTACACTGGTTTTAAAACAGAGCTTCTAACAAATTGAGAGATTGTTTACACACTAAACACATGATTTTAGCAGGTTTTTAACTCATGCAAAGTTCATTTTAGTCCACAGTGACAATGTTGCTATTTTACATTCTGATTCCATCACTGCAGCTAAACATAACAAGACACCTGTGTGGTGAGAACAGGGGAAAAAATGTATTTAAAAAATAATCCACACACTGTGAACTGGCTCCCGTTATGATAAATGCAACATTTGGGTCAGATAGACCTAATTAGTCATTAACTCGGCTGCTTTTCCACCCTTCAGTAGCAGAAACAGTCTGGCATTACTTTAAATTGTTTATTGTGACATATTAATCATCACTCAACTAAATAGCAAAAAATACCCTATACTAATGTCACATATATCTGATTATCCGCTGTGAGGGTCCTAAGGACAGAGGGATGTTGTATGCTGTAAAGCCCTGTGAGGCAAATTGTGATTTGTGATATTGGGCTTTATAAATAAAATTGATAGATAGATAGATAGATAGATAGATAGATAGATAGATAGATATAACCTAGTGATACCTACATGTAATTTAAGTCTCGGCCAATGGTATTTTTTTTTTTTTGATAATATTTTAATTTTTCTACATTTTTCTGTTACAAGATAACAGAGTATTGTTAACATCCCACGCCACTGACATTGAACTTTTTTTTAAATGAATGCGCTCGTGGATAGGAAAACCCAGAGCTGACTGAACTGGTTGATAGCTAGCTATGTAGTACTGGTTATTCAAAAGGCCAACGTTAGGGTTAGTCAAACCAGATAATGAAAAGATATCCTGGGTAAGTTGAATTGGCTTCATAGTACAGGCCTCTATTCAGGCCTGATGAAGAGAAACATGTCTGATAAACTCAGTACTGGTTGTATTTGGAATTACACTATTTCGTTCACATAGTTCATTGGATTTAAAGGTGATTAAAATCATGGCAGCCATATTTGTTGTTGTCCTAGAGAACTTTTGAAACAGACAGAAAAGCTTGCTTTAACTTAAAAGAATATCCCCACTATTGACATACATGCTGTTTGAAAGAACACACACACACACACTGCTCTCAATGCCATACTATATGACTATGTAAACCTCTGCATATAGTATATATAGTTATTTAAAGATAATTATGAATATGTACAAGTCAAACAAATCATTACATCTTAAAATATATTTCTATGCAACTTTTAGAGCCATGCCATGCCTGTTCCTTGAGTGTGCATGATGTTATTAACTGTGGGTCTTCTCAGAGAAACACACACACACACACACACACACACACACACACACACACACCAGTAACCATACAAATATTGTATGCTAGTTACAAGAGCATAAATGACACAGTCACCTGCTTTAAAACATACACCTGACAAACACACACATTAAGTTTGTATTATGTATGCACTGTTTGTTCCTGAAGTGTTCCTATAGGGTAAATGCTCAGTCTCAAAAGTACAGCTGCTCAGTTCATATGAGGGCTGCAACTAATGCTACTTTTGCTTTTTTTGTCTGAATCAAAGTCCCAAACCCAAACCCAAGGATATTCACTTTACCAAGATCTAAAACAGAGAAAGACAGAACATCCTCAAATTGCAGAGGCTACAAATCAAAGAAGATTTGGCTTTTTTTTTTTGCGTAGATTTTGGGGGACACAAAGGGAGCAAGTCCCCCTTAATATTTAGAACACAAGATAGTCTCTGATCCAGTGTTAGGTGATGGACATGTGGGGCTCATGGGTACCACCCTCCAGCATCTGCACCTGGACAGGTGTGGATGTACAGACACAAGCAGGCAGCTTCCCAACATTCACACATCAGCTGTCCCGTTTTGTCTCATTACTGAAGACATGCTGAAACTGACATTCATTCCCCAGCCCCAGGCTGTGGTTGCACCTTACTCTCTCCAGCT